ACACCGAGAGACACGCATTGCTGGGAGAGAGACACCGAGAGACACGCATTGCTGGGAGAGAGACACCGAGAGACACGCATTGCTGGGAGAGAGACTGAATGTTGTTCCTGAACTTGAATTGTAGCCTGGTGCTTCCCTAATAAACCCCATAATCTGTGAGTTCTGTGTGGCCACTGCAGTGAATTACTGAACCCGACTGATAGGCTTTGGGTGCTGCGGGAGGAGCAGTTGGTATAAGGCTGGAGGGAGGCAGCATGTCTGGCCTTACAGTAATAGGTCCTCTTCCTCTTGTGGGGTTAGAGGAGGTCAGAAGATGTGGCCTCCTTGCCTTTTTAGCACCATTTGTCAGCGGAGGCTTGAGTGCTGCTATGAAGTTGACTGAATAGGTTTTGGCATAGTCTTCAGACTAAGACAGATGAGGAACAAAGACCTGGCAATCTATTTCCAAAAATCAATCGATGAAAACCTTACGGATCACAAGTGTCCAATCTGCAACCGGTCATGGGGATGGCCCAGGACTGAACAACATTTGGCTCCATTGTACTTGGGGTCACCACGAGGAGTAGCCCACTTGATGGCAGCTTACAAGAACAACAGTGATTATAGACACTTGGTATCTTGGTTCAAAATCCACTGAATTCTCTGCCCAGAGGCAGAAACCACCACCATAACAAACCACCTAAAAACATTAGTGAACCTGAATGGGGTTTAAAAAAACTACTACTAAGGTAGGAGGACCAAAAACATAGGTGCCAGTTCCTGCTCTATAAGTAAATATGACCTCAGAAAAGTCATGTGATTTCTTTGGAGTTATTTCCTTTGTGTGTGTCTATCAACCAGTCAAGTAATAAGTAAATAAAAAGCACCCCTTGCTCTAAAGTACCATGTCTAGTGAAGTCACATGATCATGATCTCTCTCTATGCTGACCTCCCCAACTATAAAACCAGGATAATGATATCCACACGTTGTTTTGCTTACTTTAGAGCTGAAAGAGCAACTGAGACAATAGGTATGAAATACTCTGAAAAGTAAAACAGATCAATTGAGACTGCTAAATCACCATTTTCCCAAACTGAAATTTTAAGGAAATCAAAAAAGGGTGTCTAGTTTTAAATTAAATATTATACTTACTCTTAAATATAACATGCAGAATAAACTCTGGCTAGAAAGTACTAAAATGCCCTATTATAATCAAGGTGTAGGCAAGGAGGCACAGAGCCTCAGAGCACACTGCTTGATAAAGTTACCAGGGCCCTAGAGGAACTCTAGGCAGCTTCAAGGGCCCAAGTACACACACACTTCTCTCTCGGTGAAAAATCATCATCTTACTCCACCTGGAATACTACCTCTAATATGACTAGGTAGAAGACATGTCAAGGTCAAATGTGTAAGAGAGAGACATTTTTCTATTTGGCAGAAATAAATCCCACATATCTAAAATAGACTGTATCTTGGCTGTAAAAGCATAGTGAACACTTGAGTTTTACAGCTTCTAGTATGGAAAGTCTAAAAATGAGTAAACTTCACGCAGACATCTCTTTTTTTACACAGCTTAGTCACAAATAGCCAGCAAGCAGCAATTTGGCAGCAACACACAAATCTAGCTCATGCCCACCAGAGCCAAACAACAAGCTAATAAATATCTGCATGTACGCTTCTAAAATGCAACTTAACTGACCAAACACCACATGTAACCCATGGGGAAAAAAAACTACACCAAACCAAACAAGGTAACGATTCTCTTTCTACTAATTTCATACATAGTTTGTCCTATATACTGGAAGACTTTAGGAAAAGAAAATCAACTGATTCTTTATATATGTACTGCCACAATTTTGATTACCTCATTTTTATTTCACTTCAGTAAAAGTTATTTTTCCATTTATGGTTTGAATCCTAGAATTTAAGCAGCTCTCGTGGCATAGTGCCTAAGGCATTTGACTGCTAACCAGAAGGCTGGCAGTTCAAACTCACCAGCCACTCCTCAGAAGGAAAGTTGGGCAATCTACTTAGGTAGTGATACCGCCTTGGAAACCCAAGGAGGGGTCGCTAGGAGTCAGATCCGACTCTATGGCGGTGAGTTTGGTTTGGTTTATTAAATACAAGAAGTTTAGATGAAGACAAAACAAATGTCTAAGATCAATGTGATATGCAATAGTAGAATGACTAAGACCTCTGTAAGGACATAATACCAAACTCACTGCCATCAAGTCAATTTCGACTCATAGCGACCCCCACTGGGTTTCTGAGGCTGTAAATTTAGATTGCCCCATCTTCCCTCCACAGACCAGCTGGTGGGTTTGAACCGCTGACCTTCTAGTTAGCAGCCAAATGCCTTATCCACTGTGCCACCAGAGCTCCTTTTGGAAGGATAAACCCACTGCCATTGAGTCATATCCGACTCATAGTGACCCCTCCTTGGGTTTCCGAGGTAGTATCACTACGAAGTAGATTACCCAGCCTTCCTTCTAAGGAGTGGCTGGTGGATAAGGACATGGTTTTAAAGGGATGCTACATCCTCAATTAGGAGTCCCTGGGTGGCACAAGTGGTTAAGTGCTTGACAACTAGCAGAAAACCTAGAGGTCCAAACATACCCAGAGGTGCCTCAGAAGACAGACCTGGAGATCTGCTTCCAAAAAGTCACACCCTTGAAAACCCCATGGGGCAATTCTACTTTAACAGACTTGACAGCAACTACCACCACCACCACCCATTAGCGATGTTACTATAGGCAAGTATCTTAATATGGACTTTGTTTCCTCATTTATAAAATGAAATCAATTCCACCCTCTTACAATGGATTTAACATATTTTAAAGAAACTTAGCATAATATTTATTAACACAGTTTAAAGTTTCCTTCTATTGTTGCTATGTGCTGTCGAGTCACACCCAACTCATAGCTACCCCTCCTTGGGTTTCTGAGGCGATATCACTATGGAAGTAGATTGCCCAACCTTCTTTCCCAGGAGTGGCTGGTGGGTTTGAACCCCCAGCCTTCTGGTTAGCAGTCAAGTGCCTCAGGCACTATGTTACCAGAGCTCCTTCTATTAGTCTAAGTAATTTTAGTTGATTTGTTTCTGCTATACAATATCCTTGAACATTATTACACCAGTACTCTCCATGAAGAAGAGGACATGTCTTGTACTTACTTCATATGTCTTTTTCCCTTACAATATGCACGTGCTATATGGCTGGAAAATATTTTATTAATGCATAAATGAATGGGTCAAAGAATATGGTATCCAAAAGCACATAAAGGCCATCATTTCTAAGGATCTTGTTATGAACCTGAGTCTTCAGGAGCACTGACATCCCCAATGCCAGTAATGAACAGAAGCACACAGTATCAAGCTCTACTGTGCCACCCCCAACTGAAACCCATAATGAACGAAGTGAAAGAACAAAACTGGATAGGAAATAAAGAGTATCTGCAGACTCTGATAAAATACGCCCCAAATATTCCTGGCAGCTCCCTAAACTAAAAGATTGGTAACACTTCGATAAAGTCCAAATCACTTCAACATTTTTATTTAATTGAGAAAGACCTCATCCCCACCCCCTAATAATAATCACGGCCTTTCAACACTTTTTTTTTCCCCACCTAGAAGGATGACAGAACAAAGACCCACTGGCCAGATTTATATCATTCACTGGACTAACCCAGAGAAAAAGTTGCCAAACCTAAGAAAAAGAAGTAAGTTCAGAAAAAGCTAACATGATATAAGGATAGGAAATGAAATTTAATTCTCATAACATTCTTAAAGGTATTACAAAGGTTAATGCTAACTCATACCTGAGGGATAATCTTCTTTTTCTTATTATTTGCTGCGTTGGGTCCAGAAAATAGCTTCTCGAGGGCAGCTAAAGCTGCACTTGCCTTTGCCACTTTCTTATTTGGACCGGCACCTCTGAATTTCTGTCCATCTACTTCTACCTAAAATAAAAAACAGCACTTTGCATTTATCCCAAGCAATTCCCCAATGAAGCTTTAATTTAAATGTATCATACTACAGAAAACACCAAAAGTCAAATTGTGCCACACAAATTATCTCAGTCTAAAATACAAATTCAAGATATCCTATATTTTTTAGGAAACATATAAAGTTGGCTTGTATACAGGCACACACCTCCATTACAAAGCGTTTGTCATGGCTTCCACCAGTCTCCGAGATGAGTTCATACTTAAGACCTCTTCTTTTTTCATTAAGCTCCATTACAGGATTTTTGCCACTTGCTGTGAGGATAGGGCCCTGAGTTCTTACCTACAAGAGAAAAGGAATATGCAGGTTTTCAATCAAGTAATATTTTAGAATATTAAATCTGTATTATTCTAATATTAAATTTATATTATTAATAGAATTATACGATGTCTCTGTTGAAAAAGAGGCTCAAAAATTCTACTTAAAAGCATTTAGAAGCTAGGATACATGATCACCTGCTTAAAGAAAGGGTAAAATAGGCATAGAAACTCTATAAGCAGTAAATGCTGCAGTCAGTAATCTGGCCAACCTGCCTTTAGTCCCAAGAATCCAGGAACTTCACCACTACACGGCACTCCAGGGTCTGATGTGTGGTGTTGCCTATAATACTCTAAATGACTAACATAAATGTTAGAAGAGTTGGGATTCAGAAGACATCTGAGGGTTCACTATTATTAATCTTTAGGGTCAGGAAGAAATACCTCTCAATTTGGGGGTGGGAAAGAAATATGCCTGCACACCTCTCAGTTTCTCCAAACAGATTATGGGCACTTAAGGTAAAAACAAAGGAGCTCGGTGGTGTAGTGGTTAAGGCATTTGGCTGTTAACCAAAAGGTCCACAGTTTAAATCTACCAGTTTAAATCCTCCATGGAAGAAAGATGAGGAAGTCTGTTTCCATAAAGATTTACAGCCTTGAAACCCAATGGGGATTCCTATGAGTCAGAATCAACTTGATGGCAGTTAAGGTTTGTTTTTTGAGTTAAGGTAAAAACATGAGTCCCTGGGTGGTAACATGAGTCACTTGGGTGATAATCAAAAGATTGATATGTAAGTCCAACCAGAGGCATCTGGGAAGAAAACCATGGCAATCTACTTTTGAAAAATCAGCCACTGAAAGTCCTGTGGAACACATTTTTACTCAGACTCACATGGGGTTGCCCTGAGTCAGAAATCAACTCAAGGGTAACTGGTTTTTAAGGGTTAAGGTGAAAACAATAGACTACATAAATGGATTCTGAAATTGAAAAATAATAATAAAGGCAATCATTTCCTGCCTTCAAAGAGCTATAGTTTAGCAGGGCAGATGCATATACAATCACTGCAAAACAATGTAGGAAAAGTTAGAACACATACATGTTACAGGAACATAGTGGAGGGAATCACTTTTTAGGGCAGTCAAGATAGCTTTCCTGGAAGGGGCATGTGAGCCTGACCTTAAAGGGTAAGTACCTGACCATGTCATCAGGAGAAAACAAGAGAGAAAAGTATTCTGAACAGAAGAAACATTAATGCAAAGGTCCAAGAGAAGAAAAGAACACTTGTGTGGGAAATGGCAAGAAGTTTAGTTTGTATGAAGGAGTAAGGAGAGGGAAGTGGTATTAACAGGACCTGATTAGAAACACCCTTGATGGGGTCAAATTGTATAAGACTTTGTATGCCAAGCAAATGAACTTTGACTTTATCCTAGACAATGGGGAACCACTGAAAGACTTGAAGCTGAAAAATAACATTATTAGATTTCTGTTATAAAAAATCATTCCAACAGTAGTAGAAAGGACTGACTTAAAAGGGGTAAGACTAGAATAAGGAAGAAATATATATATATAATTCATAGAAGTGTGATGGTTCAACAACAAAGGCTAGCACAAACACATACACAAAGCACTATAATTTTGAGAAAGAAAACACTAAAAGATCAAGCACTCTTCGAGGTCATAGATCATGTCAGTAATTCCAGGACAGGAACTGCTCAATAAATGCTGAACAAAGTAATTTAATGCCCAAAAGAATTCTTCTGTATAAGAACCCAATGGACAGCAATACTGTACACTGATTTGTAAGTGGCTGATGCTGCAGAAATGAAACATTGGACAATTTTTAAAAACAAATTCAGTAAACACTCCTGGGGCTTAGGCAGTAAGTATCACTCCTTAAAGCATTTTTTAAAATTCAGAACAAATTTCCAGTCTCCATTTTCAAAAGGTAATGAGTAATTTTTGAAACTGTCTATGTCAATCACAATCTGCTTTCCAAATCTGAAATCACATCACTTTTACAAAAAATGAGTTAAGACATTAAAAATATTTGAATTTCCAATCAGTTACTGGAGCCCTGGCAGTGAAGTGTTTAAGTGCTCAGCTTCTAACTGAAAAGTTAGCAGTTCAAACTCACTAGCCACTCCATGGGAGGAAGATGAGGCAGTATGCTACCATAAAGATTTGCAGCGTTGAAACCCTATGAGGCAGTTCTACTCTGTCTATAGGGTCACTATGAGTTGGAATCAACTCGACAGCAACGTTTTATTTTGTTTGTTTTTTTAATCAGTTACTACTGTTTTAAAGGGAGAAATGAATAACAGGGGTTTCTTTTGTCTTCCATTACAACATTACACAGAAACAAAGTATACATGTATTCATTACCCAAACCTCCACATACGCATAAGGCTGCTATTAGCCCAGCCCACACTGCTCTCTCTCTCTTTTTTAATTCCTTTTGCACATAATGGATCTGAGCCTCAGAATTAATGAGCCTTTCTTTCTTTAGAATCTATGATTCTCTGCGATTACCACCTGTGAATGAATGACTGGTGTTTTCAACAGCCAGGTACCATGTCTTCTGTACTTCAAAAGATCAGGTGGAGAACTGGGCTTGGCTTTCACAGGTCTCAGTCCCCACTGAGCCCTGTTGCCTTCTCCATACTGGCCCATTTGGCTGTTTCCAAACATTTGTTTCTCTAGCTCCAGATCATTATACCCCCTATTCCTTCTGTTCAGAATGCTTTCTCTACCTCTTCCCCACATGGTAAAATCCTACTCATCATCTAACACCTATCTCATATTTCACCTCCTTTGATTTTACATGACTGTATGAGTGTGAGTATATATAGATCTCACAATCACTTCCTCCTTTGAGATTTTACATCATATTCATTTTACAATCATAGTACTTATCATGTTATATTATAATTAGTTATTGTGGTAGTTCAGTTTGTGTGCCAACTCGGCTGGGCCTGGTTGAGTGGCTGGGCAGCTGGTGGTAGTTATTCCCCATGATGAGAACGGCAATCAACTCCATGGTGGGATCTACCACAAGCAGCTGAGTAGCTGCCTTTGGGATATAGTCTGCTTCCTGCATTTAAGGAGAAGCTTTGAGAATGGTCTCTAGCCTCTGGCACGCTTGGACCCTGCATGTAGCCGTGTCATGGCTCAGCAGCCTGCTATGCTCTGCCGACCTTGGGACTTACACTGGACTTAAGTAAATGGCCTGCTGTGTGGTTTGGTAACCTCAGGACTGTGCCTTTTTACTTGTCAACCTTGGGGCTTCCAGCCTCAGCAGCCAGAAGCTGTTTGAGTGAAGAAACGCCTCTAGCTCCAGTGGGCTGGGAGTAGGAGGCAGAGCTGGACCCCAAGGTTGAGGGGCTTTCACCCTGCCTCTAGAGCCTGGCACTTTGAACTTGCACTTAAAGCCTCCAAGTTGTAAGAATAAACTCCTGTTTGTTAAGGCCATCCCATTTGTGGTATATTCTTGTCAGAGTGGCACTAGGTAACCAGAACAGTTATAAACATGTTTTGTTCTTCTAGGCTGAGAGTATCCTGAGGTCCTGGATGCAATTTCTGCAGCACCTGGCACTGGGTAGGAGTCTATGAACTGTAAAAATAATAAGTACTTATTAGTCTTATCACAAATGGCAGTCAAAGCAGGTTTTTTTTTTTTTTACTTTGAAGTCATTTTTCCTTATGAAGAATGCAGTAAACAAGGACCCCATGAATTCACAAATGTGCCAGTACACTCTCTATTTGGATCTCGCCTCATTCTATTATCTGGGGCAATAAGCTCTCAGGTCAGGATTTACTCAGAGTATGAGATACGTACTAGTCAGGCTAAGCCTTTCTCGAGGACTGAACCAACTAAATGATTATCCAATGCCTCCCAAAACCAGCTTAGCACAAACTTCAAACAGTCACAAATTCCCCACTGGATCTCTTTTAGTTCTTCATACTTAGTTCTTCAGTTACTGTAATCCTCTTAATACATTATAATCATGAAATACTGGAAGTAGCTTCAATGATCAGTAGTAGAGAATTAGTTAGTTAAATTATACTCATGCAATGGTATATTGTGCAGCTATCCAGACATGTTTACAGATTTTTTTAGAGTTATAAAACCTGCATGAACACAGGACTGACTGCATAAAAATACTCATGGGGGAAAAAAAAAAAAAAAAACAGATGAAAATAAACCCATATATTAATAATGGCTATCTCTAGGAGGGAGAAGTCCTGGTGGCACAGTGGTTAAGTGCTTGGATGGTAACCAAAAGGTCACTGGTTCGAACACATCAGCCGCTCCACACTAGAAAGATGAGGCAATCTGCTTCTGTCAAGATTTACAGCCCTGGAAACCTGAGGGGGCAGTTTTACTCTGTCCTATGAGAACCGACTCAGTTGCAGTGGGTTTGGTTTTAGTTTACCTCTGGGAGGTAACTTTTGATTTTCTTATTTATATTTTTCCATATTTCTCAAATTTTCTACAATGCACATATATTACTTTTTTCCTAAGGGGGAAAAGAAACATGACTATACCTCTAAGGTACTGGAGGTTTCAGTTGTAGCATTTCCAGTATTATTGCTTGAGTTTGAAGACACTGTTTCATTTTTGCCTTCATTATCTGATTTTTCATCGGAACTCATACATTCAATATCTGCATCAAAGCCTGTTGGGTATCCCATTGCCTGCAACACCTGCATAGATTACATTAAAATTCAGTTTTACTTAAACACCAGAGATTACAGAAAACAGATGAAATAACTAAATCAACAATTTCAAATTCATAACATTTGGATCCATGAAGCACCTTGCAGGAAGAGCAAGAAGATACTCAATCTACAAAATTTAGTTAAACAAGTTATATAAATGAACCAGGAATAATTTTAGGCTTGTATTTCTATCCCTACCTTTTAAGGCCTAATTACTTTATGGATACTTCTAATGTTGAAACTTATTTTCCCATTTGAAATACAGCTTTTGGGACAGTGTGTGTGTGTGTGGTGTGTGTGTATCTTTTTATTTAATACCACCTTCCAGATTTTACTGCCTTTCAGATGTTTAAAAAAGAGTATGTTCACTTGCATTTTTACAGGCCCCTTTCAAAGTAAACTGCATTATCAGTTACTAATTAAAGATTTACATCAAAGGATATAGAGATAGGTTCCTAAAGACAAGTGTGTTTGTTTCAGCTTTTAACTATGTTATAAATTCCAAGAGGGTAAAAGCAACATCATAGTTCTTATAATCCCAACTGTACCTACACAGATGCCTGAAACAACTATTACAGCAGCTGCACAAATGAGAAGCTAGGAAGCTCAGCTTTTATAAACAATGGCATCTTGTATAAAGGATTCTGCCAATGCCAATAAAATAGTATTTACTCTAAACAAAATATGGACATAAGTAGATTTCTTTACTAAGAGAACTTGAAATTAATTCATCCAATTCATATGGAGAATTTGGCATCCTGCTGAACATTTCAAATCATAAAATAAATTCTTTGTATTTATTTGGGAGTAAAGCCAAGAACTCTTTTTTAATATCTTAAGTTCTAAAAGTTCTCAGGTAGCACTTTACACTAAGTACACTAACATCATTTGCTTATATCCTCATCAATATTTTACAAAGGAAACACCTTTCTCCACTGACTGACTCCTACAAATATGCTCTCCTTGAGAAACTTCATCTCTGAGAAAATAACTATCAGTCTGGAACTATCACTAGCTAACACAAGCTGCAAGTCAAAAGCCAAGAATCACAAATTTGGTTTGTTTATCCCAATAAAAACTGAAGACATAAGCTTTTCATAATTTAACATATAAAGCTAAAATAGTGTAATATCAAAATTTAGTTAACACCACTTCTCTCTTCCCTTTCCTCACATATTCATTTATTACTTGTTAATACAGCAACATATATCAATATATTTTTTAAATAGTTGATAAAGCTGATGCATAATCTCTAAGAGATACAGTGTTCAATCACAATACAGCATAACAAAAATAGTTCAAGGTAAGCCCTATTTCTCTGAATACACTTTCAATATGAAGGCCAAAAAACTGTACCAAAGAAAAGTGAGTTTCAGGCGTCTGGCAAACAAATTCAAACTTAATAAACACATCAACAGAGCTGAAAATTCAGCTATATGTAACTATGTCCTTTTCCTCCTAGAGAGATTGAGAAAGATGATAACCTCAGAGATAGGGGCCAAGAGTGAAAAGAAAACACATGATATTCTACCACACAGCTCTGTTCTCAAAAGAAAGTTGTAACAATGGCTTCTGTATGATACAAATTGCTCAGGGAATCTGGCAGCTCCAAGATCGTCCTCAAAGAGCCTTTCCTCCTTGTCCCCATCCAACTGATCTTTTCCTCATAATAAGTAAGATTTTTACTTTACTCACTGATCGTGAGTCTAAAGCTGACCTTCCTGGGGGGCTGTCAGAGGGAAGAAACTGAAAAGGGGAGACTGGATCCTGATCTCCACCACTTCATGGTGCCTGCTGCTGAGCTGCCATGCTGCTAGGGCAGAAAGGGATTTCCTGTTTTGACTGGATCCTCTGGTATGATATATTTTAACAAGCACAGACCCCGTAAGCTCCCCCAGCTATTGAGGGAGGAATGCAACAATTTTTATCTTGTGGGACCTATTTTCATAAAAATAGGTTAAGATATAAAACTCCTCTTAGACTCCTTTAACAAACAGATCTGGTATTATGTGGTATAGCCTTTATGGAGAGCAATTTGGCAATATATTCCTGGTATGTAATAGGCACTCAATACATTATCTAATGAATTAATCAATCATTCAAAAGTGCTTTCCTCTCAGCCTTGTAATTCCATCTCTAGAAGGTATCTTAAAGGATAATCTGATAACTTCAAAAGATGTAGAGCAATAAACTGGAAGCATCTAAACCTAAAAGGATTTGCTACATTACAGTAGATTCATAATAATGTAATAGAAGGCCATTATTAAAATGAAATGTTATGCTATCACTTAATATGAGAGCAATATTTGTGGTAACTACAAAATAAATTCACAATAGATTTTTAGATGAATAAAGAAATTACAAAATAGCATGACCCTATTTTAAGTATTTATTTTATATACACATTATATAGGTCCACCATTCCTTATCTGAAACCCTTGGGGCCAGATTATGTTTTGAGAATTCATAATTTTTTATAGTTTAGAAAGCTAATACTGTACACAGACCATATATTTTGTAATATCCCCTGTGGGATCTCAGGCTTGCCCCATGTTGCTGCAAAGAAATGTATTAACTTTTCATACTAAAGGGCTATTATAATAAAGACTGAAAATAGCCCCACACCAGCTAAGGTCAGGTTTTAACATCCAGTGGAGGAAAAGTTTTCATTTTCACTGCTTTTTGGAATTTGGAAATGTGGTAAAGAATGTTGACATTGTATATTTAAAAACAATTTTTTTAAAGCTTAAAAATACATACCAAAACGCTAATGATTATTATTTCTAGGTGCTAAAATTATGGGGGTATTTTTCACTCATTTTCTAAATTGCTTACAACAGAGAGACATTGAATGTTTATAATAAGAAAAAGAAAATTCAAAAGGATTTACATTAAATAACTTTTAACCTTTAGAAAACCGGATATACAATAAAAACTCTGTGACAATCAGAGGGAGACTGTCTACCTCAACATAAGAGAGCAAATTCTAGAATATAGTTACCCAACGCATGAATCCGGGGAGTATGATCATAGAATATCGGAAAAGATCGCAAGCTACTTCTGACTGAGATCTGGTAAGAAGCCCTCATGTTAAGGAGTGGATTCAACATCTTAAACCAAATAAATCACCTACGGTTAAGTTTTCACCTCTGGATTACTCTAATCTCTCATTTCTCCTACCTGGGTGGATCAAAAGTTTAGTGTTTATGGGGTTTTTTGTTTTTGTTTTTTTGCCAATTTCAAAAAAGGTAAATCTCAACTCTTCTCAAATTTCAGATCTACAAGTTAACTTGCTAATTAAGCTATGACAAATATCTGGAATACAGATTACAACTGATTTCACACTGGACCTGAGGGAAGAGATAATGACTGATTTATATGGAGGTAGATGACCATCATACCTGTATTTTCCCTGGGGTGCAGTTAACTTGTCATATTGTAAAATATGCAACTCTACTAATCCCCGCCTCAAAATTTTACTGACTTGCAACTTGCTATGAGGCCAATAGCTTATATTAAGTTTTTCCAAGAAACAACCCCACAAAACTTATCATTGCATCAAGGATGTCTTTATAGCATATCTTTGATATTCTTTTTTATGGAGACTTATCAAAGGAGAAATACCCATTTGATCCTTATACCAAGATAACTATAATTCTCATAATCAATTTTCTGTTCTTACGTCATAAACAGTGAATTGTATATTTCACAAGCTTTTTGTCAGCTGCTAGAGAGCTTATATCTAAAGTTGTGAGTCATCCTCAGTTCACAGTATAGCTATTAAACTCTAGCCTTATTCCTGAATTCGCTTTCCCCCTGCTTCTTGGCTTCCTTTATCTGCCTTATTTTTCACTGACACTATTTCATCATACTGTAGGTACCTGTTTTATACACAAAGCAGAACATAAATAGTACACTGTCTAATATTTTTACAGCTTAATTGTTTTTATTTTTCATGCATTATTCTTACCACATATTATATATTCACTTATTTATTTAATGTCTGTCTCCCCTATCCACATTAGACTGTAAGCTCCATGAGTATAGGTACACTGTTTTGTTCACTAGTATATCCCCAGAATCTAGGATAGTGCTTGCATACTATATTGTTGTTGTTGTTGTTATGTGCATCGTCAGACCGGACTCATAGCAACGCCTCCTTGGGTTTCCGAGGCAGTATCACTACGGAAGTAGATTGCCCCATCTTCCTTCCAAGGAGTGGCTGGTGGGTTTGAACCGCCAGCCTTCTGGTTAGCAGTCAAGTGCCTTAGGCACTACACTACCAGAGCTCCTGCATACTATATTAGTAATACTTATAAAATGGAAGGGTCATAAAAATAGACTAATTATTGCTTATGTCATATTATTACATAATAGAACTTTCCTTAAGTGAAAACTGACTTTCAGTCTAATGATCTTTGACAGTTTGGCATTAGTCTGAAAGAGATCATACTCAGAGAGATCCCACTATTTGGGAATGTTCTGTAAGTCTATAAGCAAGATTCCCCATAGAATGGTCCCTCCCTATGGAAATACTCTGAAATACAGAAAATGCACTATGTGCAAAGATGCTGATCAAATTTATTTATAATAGAAAAAAATCTAAAAACAGAAAAATATCCAGTGACAGAGAAATATTTAAACATATTAATGATATATACACATCATGTTATTCATAGAGCCATTAAAAATTATTTAGAAGACTTAATAACTTAGAAAACTACTGATGATGTTAAATGAACAAAGAAAGAGGATATTTAAAAGCTCGCATATGCACTGTAAATCCAACATAAAAAAAAAAAGGAAAGAAATTAGCAAAACAGAAAAAGACTGGAAGTAAGTAAACCAACATACTACAAATATCAATGGTCTCTGTCTCAGAGATGCACAATTGAGTTTATTATTTCTTTACTTTGTTCTACGCTTTTAAGTTTTGTATAATCAACCACCACCAAAAAAAACCTAATATTTGATACAGAGGTGACAAAAGTCTGTGTTATTGTCATTAAAATCCTGAAAAAATTCTCTTCATTTTCTACAGGAAAATAAGCAACTTGTTTGCAATATAAAATAACAAAGCATTACTAAGTAAGATAAATACTTTACCTTCACTGCTACGTGAAGTTTTGCTGTTTTCTTGGATGGTCCTGAGGCTTCATATGTTGTGCCATCCACATCTACAGACATTGTGAAAACAGGGGCATGAACAGGGCCAGACTGAGATAGAAGCTTATACTGAAGCCCAGGTCTGATCTGATTTAGCCTCATGAGGGCATTCATAAGGTCTATTGCTTTACTGTCCAGAACTGTGAATGAAAGAGGAACAGGATCAGAAATAAACTAGAAAATCATTTTTGCTTTTATCTACACATTTGTAGGTGCCTAGTAATCAGTATAAAGCAATAGTTTCAAAAGGCACTTACAAGTTAACTTCAAAAGTAATTCTGATACTACTTTTAAAGTTAGTATGCTAATATTTTTATAAAAACAACCTGCATTACTATATCTATACACTAATTTTCATTTTTCAATATTAATATACTTAAAGCAATGAAGCATCCAAACAGAGAATAAAGTTATAATCGTCAACTTTACAGTTAAGATCCATTCTTAAAAGTCTAATTCAAATAAATCATACTTTTCATTTTTATTTTCCTATCTGAGGCTATAAATCCTTTCTAGTTCACATCTGTTACAGCTGAAAAGAAAACTAAGAATAAAGCCTTTACACACTTTTCCTTAAGTTCCGTTTCATCTTCTTGTTGGGATCTTTATCATCCCCCAATCCATCCTCAAATGGCCTCTTTAGAGCTGAAGACCCAGCACCTAGAGAGAGACAAGAGACAGAGAGACAGAGACAGAGAGAGATTCATTATGGTTAAAACAATGCTTCTACTTTCTCTACCAAGTGTATCTATTATATTCAGATGGGAAAATCTTAGGAATCACAAGGACCATACAAAGCTTTCAGTGCTTAAATAAATGATCAGACTTATGATCTTGTCATTTAAAAATTTTGAAAGTAAATCTTCTTGAAATAATTCAGTATTACCCTGTTTTTAAATTTATTTCTCCATTTATTGGTATGTATACATACAAATATCTATGCATATATTCACACATGTATATACAGGAATAGAAAAACTTATGAAAGAAGGGATATCAAAATGTTAAAGGTAGTTATCTCTGGTTGGATTTATTTTTACTTATGTCTTATCAAATACTTCTATAATTTAACATTTATTAAATGTATAAACTTTAAAAATCCATTCATACTCTTTTAGAAATCTCATTATTCATCCAACTATAAAATACTCTTTCCTGCCCGCCCATTCAACGCTATTCAAGATTTTATTTATAGTTCACCTAATCCATGAAACTCTCTTCAGTTTTTCTCTCATATCAACTTTCTAATAGTTTCTACAGTATCAGAAATTTAAAGTATCATGTGTTCTTGTATCATTGCCTATTTCACATATATATATATATTTCTTGTGTATTCTTAGAACTCTTTGAAGGTCAAAGATATTTTCTCTCTCTCGTACCTCACAAAATATCACACGACATAATGGGTATGGAGCAAAAACTAACTAAACTGGTATTAATCAATTTCTTGGATAAAGCAGCTAGTTCATAACACTCAGGTAGAAGACAAGAGCTTTGCTTTCCAACTTACAAAGAAACAGGAGGGGGGACAAAAAAAAAAAGCTCATGAGCCTGTCCAAGTACTCCAAAGAACTCTGCACCTTCACAGATACAGTTGCAGAACATTCCTAACTTAACTCTCTCTTAAAAGCTGGTTGCTGGGTTTTTTCCTAATGGAAAATTATACTCAAGAAATACATGCCACAAGATTTCCAGATACTTCTCATGAAAGTTTGATATAATACTAAGATTAACCACATATTCTCTGATCATAAAGATTTATTGTCCCTTGAGGTAAACACTGACTTCAGCTTTTGCTTGGGTCAATACTTACCACTCAGGTCAATCAATCTTGATGTTCTTCAACAGAAGGCAGTATCTGCTCACTACTGTATTTCATTTGCATGACATAAAACTGCAGTATGCCAGTTGCCCAGAATACAGTCTTTAAGAGATAAAGTTAAAAAGCAACTATGTCTATTCAATCACTCTGCTACTCATTAAGTTACATTAGAAGCAGCTCCCTGATTGCCCGGAAATCACAAGCCGGCTTAAACCCACAAATCTATTCTCTAAATATTCCAACTACACAAACAGAGCTCCATAAGTTAAGCCTCATTCTAACACCTTGGCCACTGGAAAAGGGATATAAAGTCATCATAATAGTAATCTGGAAAAGAAAAAAAAAAGCTAATCATAATAGTAATCTGAAAAGAAAAGGGTTTACTTTACAAAAATAGGTTTACTTCCAACCTCTTCAATATCTATCTAGTTAGGAGAAGCAATCATTTATTTCTGTGGCAAAAATTTCTTAAAATACCATTTGAGTGCTTACCATATACCTAGCACTGTTGTTAGTACTTTATTAATATAGAGATTCACTCATTAATCCTTACAAGCACTCTATGAAACCAATATTTTTATCATCCCATTGTAAATTCACTCACCAACAAATGTTAATTGAGCATCTACTACATGCGAGATAATTTTTAGTTCCTGGACATATAACAGGGAACAAAATAATGTCCCTGTTCTCAAATAGCTTATGCTAGAGCAGTAGGAACTAATTACAGAATGTCAAATGGTAGGGAATGCAATGGAGAAAAATAACAAGAGACTTGAGGAGAAGGAGGAGGTATTCCTATTTTATACTCATAAGTGATTCTTTAAGGAGCTCTGGCCACGTAGTGGGTAAGACATTTGGCTGCTAAACAGAAGGTCAGCGGTTAAAATCCACCAGCTGCTCCGTGGGAGGAAGATGAGGCAATCTACTTTCATGAAGATTTACAGCCTTAGAAACCTAATGAGGCTTGCTTTGAGTCAAAATCGACTCAATGGCAGTGGGGAAGTGACCTTTTAATGAAAAACTGAAGAAAATGAAAGAATAAGCTATTCATCTATTTAGAGAAACAGAGTTCAGAGCAGAGAAAATAGCAAGTACAAAAGTCTTAAGACAGGAGCATGCTAAGAAACACAGCATTAGTAAGGCCTGAGTGGTTTGAATCTCATGAACAGGGAAAACCTACTGCCAGCAAGTCGATTCTGACTCACAGTGACCCTACAGGATGAAGTAGAACTGCCTGTAGAGTTTCAAAGGCTATAAATCTTTATGGAAGCAAACTGCCTCATCCTTCTCCCGCAGAGCAGCTGGCAGGTTCAAATCATCAACCCGTTGGTTAGCAGCTCAATGTTTTAACCACTACACCACCAGAGGGTGGTAGTAAATGAGAGCCAGATCATATAAGGCAGTAGTTCTCAACCTGTGCCATCATTAACTCACTAAAGGATTTTTTACAAAATACTTAGGTTCTACTTCCAGTGGAATGGCTTAAGTAAATCAGAAAAAGCTTTTGATAAGAACAATTAGAAAAACTAACTATAAAATAATTTTCTGTTTCTAGACAATAAAGAATTATCATCAAGATTTTGAGGCATTGGGGGCCACATTACCCCTAGTGGCATCTTCCAAATCCAGAAGATGCCTCAAAGAACTAAGCAGAGTACTTTCCACAGGCTCCTAACTCTCAGGGGTCCAAAACTGAAGTTCAAGGACCATCAGGAAAGGAAGATCTGCTAAATCCTCCACACTCTGGGTTGGCTCTCCACAGTGCTATACAGTAAAAGTAAGATGAGCTGAAAATAGTTTAGACCTCGCAAGAAATGAAGCCCAGCTTGAAATCATCTTAATCTCTGACTGCATTACACGGACTCGCTACAGCCAGTTCCACTACTCTCTCCGAGAAGCAAATATAAATTCTTCCTGAAAAAAGAAACATTACTCTAGGGTTTAACTTCTCTACAAGTTTTCATTTAAACTCTCCAGCACTCATAATAATCAGGCACGTGAAAAGACAAGGCACTGTGATCAAAGTCAAGAGAAACAGCGGACAACAGAAACAGACCCAAAAGGGAAACAGACAACAAAGCTTTTAAAACCAAAATTTATTTAAAAGAATGAAAACAATGTTCAAAAAACTAAGAGGAAGAATTTTGGCAAAAAATCTGAAACTATAAAAGAACCAAATGGATATACTAGAAATGCAAAATACAACATAAACTAAAGAGTGGTAGACCTACAAGAGGCAACAGACAAATCCACAACTGAGGAGAGTTAACACTCTCTCAACAATTAACAGAACATACAAATTAATTAGTACAGTGTATAAGATTTGAACAACACAATGAACAAATGTGACTGACAAGTAAAGAACACTGTGACCAACAACTGCAGAATATACCTGCTTTTCAAGAACATAAATCCATTTACAAAAACTGACCACATGCTGGGCTATGAAATAAGTATAAAGAAGTATCAAAGGAAAGAAATACAAAGTATGTTCTCAGATCACAGTTGAATAAATGAGAATTCAAAAATGGATAACTAAAAAATCACCATTTGTCTGGAAATTAAGCAATGACATTTAAATGGCCATGGGTAAAAAACTGACAAAAATTCTAACGTCCAAAACATAAGTCTTTGCTTAAAGGAAATTTCAGTGTCTTAATAATATGAAATAAGAGGCTAAAAGAATCCACAACGTATTCATCCGTTTTGAACAAGAAAAACAACAGCAAATTAAACTTAAAGAGAAAGGAAAAACAAGCAATAAGAACAGATACTAATGAAATAGAATGCATTTAATTCACAGAAACCTGTCTTTGATAAACTGTTCACAAAAATCAGTTCATGATTGGGCACAGCAGCTTTATTTGTAATAGCCAAAAATGTGAAACAAACAAAATGTCTTAAATAAACAGTTCAGTGGTGGCTCATCCAAACCATGGAATGTGACTCAGCAATAAAAAGAAATAACTATTGGCATATGCAATGAATTAGATGGATCTCTAGGGCATTATGCTGAATGAAAATGAAAGGGGGGGGGAGACTCCCGAAAGTCAGATACTGTATAATACCATTTGGGGGGACAGGAGTGAGTGTTACTATAAAGGGATGACATGAGGGAGATCTTTGTGGTGCTGGGATAGTGCTGTATCTTGTTTGTGGTGATGGTTACACCAATCTACAACTTTGATAAAATGGCATACAACTTATACACATATAATTTCCTGGATATGATATTGTACTCTAGTAACACAGAGATAACATTGGGAGAAACTGAGTGAAGGGTACAGGGTCAGGATCTCATGTACTATCTTTGCAACTTTCCACGAATTGATAATTATTCAAAGTAAAAAGTTTTTCAAAAAAGACTTGCTTCTTTGTTGATAAGATACTACATAGATACAGGGAAGAAAGGAATTTGGATTTTAAACATTTTAAAGTACGAGATGTGTCCTAGATATCCAGAGGGAAATACTGAGGAGTCATTTAGATATTTGAGTCTGAGTTCAAGGAGTAGTCTGTTGTGGCTATAAGGTACCATTGAGTCAGTTTCAACTCACAGCAACCCTGTGTACAACAAAATGAAACACTGCCTGGTCCTGCACCATCTTCACAACCACTGTCATGCTTGAGCCCACTGTCACAGTCACCGTGCCAATCCATCTTGTTGAGGGTCTTCCCCTTTTTCACTGATCCTCTACTTTACCAAGCATGATATCCTTCTCCGGGGATTGGTCCCTTCTGACAACATGACCAAAGTACAAGAGACAAAGTTCGGCCATTCTCTTATCTAAGGACCATTCCAGCTATACTTCCTCCAAGATAGATTTGTTCATTC